CCTCCAGGGACATCTGATCGACCAGTCGGTGCTTCCACTGGCTGATCATTGAGGGGGAAAAGACTGGAACTGCTCTGTCCACCTTTATGATATAGGAAACAGGTAATGAGCATACATCACTTACAGTGTCCCCTGAATTAAACAGCGCTATTTTTTAACCCTTTGAGGACCAAGGGACGTATTTGTCCCATGTTTTTAATTGTGTGTATCATCTGATTAAGAACTTAAAACTTTTTTTTTTTTTTTTGGTTTGAGTCAAAATCTTAGTTCTTATCAACAAACAACAAATGGATCTAGCTTTTTGCCAATTATTTCATGAAATGGCTTAGTTACAGCAACTGAAGTGTACGAACTTTAAAAACCAAAAAATTGATTCTTTTGGTATTCCAAAATCTTACGGTCCTCAAAGGGTTAAAAATGGAAAGCATTTGATCACACCACCAATCTTGGTGTGATCATATGCTTTTAAGGGCACAGGAGAGATCTGGGGTCAATATCTCCATAAAGAGTACCTGTCACAAGTGACAGTGTAAAAAAAAAAAAAAAAAAAATTTAAATCACCCCTGTAATGCAAATGTACATAAGTATTCACAGCCTTTGCCATGACACTCAAAATTGAGCTCAAGTTGTCAGAGAACAAACCAATCCATGAAGTCCAAGGAATCGTCCATAGACCTCCGAGACAGGTTTGTATCAAAGCACAGATCTGGGAAAAATTTCTGATTTCTGCGGCATTGAATGTCCCAATGAGCACAGTGGCCTCCATCATCTGTAAATGGAAGAAGTTTGGAACCACCAGGAATCTTCCTAGAGCAGGCCACCCGGCCAAAATGAACGATCGAGGGCCTTAGCCAGGGAGGTAACCAAGCACCCAATGGTCACTCTGAAAGAGCTCCAGCATTTGTCTGTGGAGAGAGGAGAACCTTCCAGAAGAACAACCATCTCTGCAGCACTCCACCAATCAGGCCTGTATGGTAGAGTGGCCAGATGGAAGCTACTCCTCAGTAAAAGGCAAATGGCAGCCATCCAGCCCCCCTCCTGCCAAAAGATAACCTGAGGGACTCTGACCATGAGAAACAAAACTCTGGTCTGATAAAACAAAGATTGAACTCTTTGGCCTGCATGCCAAGCGCCATGTCTGGAGGAAACCAGGCACCGCTCACTACCTGGCCAATACCATCCCTACAGTGAAGCATGGTGGTGGCAGCATTATGCTGTGGGGATGTTTTTCAGTGGCAGGAACTGGGAGACTAGTCAGGATTGAAGGAAAGATCAATGCTGCAGAGAATGTACAGAGCACTCTGGACATCCTTGATAACAAAGAAAACCTGTTCCAGAGCATTGTTTGTAGAATTGCGGGAAAAAAAATGTAATCCATTTTGGAATAAGGCTGTAACCTAACAAAATATGGCAAAAGCTAAGCGCTGTGAATACTTTCTGGATGTACTGTATCTAGAATTTTTTTTATAATTTTTTGTAAATATAGAAAATTATAGGATTTTTAAAATTATTGGATCCTGACCCATGGGGTCCCTGCATGTTCTATACTTGCCCTTGTACTGTTTCCAAAACAGGGAAAATCTACATTGCTTATAGAGCATTGTTCTTTTTGCAAGCCTCCACCTCTCTCCCTTTGGGCCTAAACACAGAATAAACAAATACATAAATACACTCAGCTGTTGTTGCCATTAGGGAGAGCTCAGCTCTGACAACTGCTCCACAGAAACATTTGTCATGGGAGTATTCACAACTTATCTAAAGAGGTAGCCTGTTAACCCATGGGGTTATTTAAAAAAAAAATAGATCTTAAAGTGGGAATATACTCAAATATTTACATAAAGCTACAATTAAATTTTTGTCGGCATGAATAAAAGTATAGATAAAGGTACAGTTTTTCTGGAAAAATAAAATCTGCTCCAGGCTATCTACCTGCTTGCATAACCTACAGATTAGGTATCTGATCCCTGTTGATGCAGAGGATCAGAATCCAGTTTGACCAGTGCTCTGATTCAGCAGAGATAATGAAAGCTGGACTTGATGGAACTTGGACAGCATGATATTTTAGCCCTTTTGTTACTCTTTCAATATGATTGAAAAATATGCCGACAGTCTTGCTGAAATGAATTGGAGTATATGACCAAGTAAAAAAAAAAAAAGCCCTAAACATAATGCACCTTCGCCTACATACATAAAAAATCCTTGCACTGGACCTGGGAGCAGGCGGCATGAAAAACCTGGCTACTAACTTTTTTAAGCTGGCTCCTAGCTTCAAAGCAAATTTCTTTTTGGTTTCTTTTTAACACCTTTGTGACCACAATAAAACTTTCTAAGACCAAATGTGATTTGCACTTTGCCAGGAGAATATAATTAACCTTGAAGCAGAAAACTAGGAATGTGCTACTGTATGTTTGTTCTCAGACCCGTTTTCAATCAGAAAAATGAGTCCATTATTGTGAAGAGGAACCACACACTGCACATATGGATATCCGAGTGACCAGTGTTTCTGTACTCCTAGCACAGAGAGTAGGGAAGCTTGGAACAGAAGAGTTTATAAGTTGTTTTTTTTTTTTGTTTTGTTTTGTTTTGTTTTGTTTTTTAAATAAAGCTCAAAAGATATTTTTTTTTATTTTTACTATCAATTAACTTTTATATAGAAAATAATTGTAGGATTTTGAAAATTTGTTGGATCTTAACCCACAGGGACACTGCATGTTCTAATACTTGCCCTTATACTGTTGTAAACCAAAGGCTGGGCATTAATGAGCACACGCCACACATATGGGCTGCTGGGCGGCCAATGTTTCTGTGTTGAGAACATGCTCATTGTGCACTCCCAGCACAGAGACCAAGCTATCAAAGACAGCTCTTGGTTCAGACTAACTATCAGTAGCCTGCAGGATCGGCTGCTGATCATGTGACAGCTGATCACTGATCCTTACCACTCCCCCAGGCATTTAGAACTTTTTCAGAATGACTGCGGGTGGGAAGGGGTTAAAAAGTATAGTTTCGCTTTAATTTTAAAAACTAAAACTAGGCAGGTCAATATATATTTACAATGGTCTGAAGATATCTGCACATCCTCTGAGATCACTCAGAAGGCAAGAACCTACCAGATTTTCCCCAGTGGTGACGCTGGTATGTGCACAGTAATTTTCATCCTCTACTCTGCCTAGAAAAGTGAAAGTTTGGGCACTTATCACACATTTGTATATTTGGGAAATCTTCATTTGGTTTGATATATAGGTGTTTGCTAAATGCACATTGGTAATATAACTTGCATCAGAATGTTGTGTTCTGTGATACATGATTGTGCTGCAGAGAATGTAATGGATACTTGGAAGAGTAATCCCTGCATATTTTTTGTATACTGCAAACAATGACCCAACTAAGCCAGAATCCTAAGAGCCACGTAGGTACTGCATCTTTTGATTGAACCAGCAAATTCTTTGTCATCTAATTACTTACCTCATGGAGGAAACAGAAGAATATGCATAGTTGCATAGTTCAAGTGCCAGTCACCAGAGTCTACCAGTCAAAAGGCCTTTAATGGAAACCTGTTGAAGGAAACATGAAGGCTGTGGTTGCTGTCTTCTGCTTCTAAAAGTGCTAGTTACCTGGCCATTATGTCTCTTGCTTTATTACTTAGTCTCTGACCCTTAGCCAGTGTTCAGACAAGGATATTTGACACTACCCTGACATTTCCAACCTGCATATGTGTTCCAGGTCAGTGACTGGACAGGAAGTATTAAATCCAGTGGGTCAACATAACCGCTAGTATTTTAAAAAAATGGCACCAATAATGTCTACCCTATACTTCTTTCATAACAGGTTTACTAATTTGTTTATGATGTGGTATTATGTTATGGTTTATGATGTTGGTTTATGTGGTTTTTGATGTGATATCTTGGTATATTTTTGCATGCATTTCAAGGGATATGAATTTCACTACATAAAGTTGTAAATGAGAAATTATTGGGAACCTTTTCTTTGTTCATTCACTGATAAGGAACAGGTTTGTTTGATAGCCATACCTCTCCTTTTCTGATAGTTGTCTTCCCCCACGCTACCCTGCTGTCTCATTTTGTCTCCTGGAGTCCCACACCGGTGTTAGTTCCAGTTCATTCTGGTTGGAGCTTAGGTAGAACCCCATTCCAACCCCACTTGCTAGCATTTATACCCTGTGATTGACTGCAAGAGCACCAGGTCTTGCTTTGTTGGAGGAAGGGGTTAGTCCAGCAATGGGCAAACTACGGCCCGGCGGACCTTTTAATCCGGCCCGCGGAGCGTGATACAAAAAAAAAAAACAGCCAGGGCAGGCAAACATTTGCATCATTCAGCGCGCCATTTGCATCATTCAGCGCGCTCAAATGCAATGATTGGCCAGTCTCGCTGCCACTCACATCCTGATAGCCAGTGATTGGCTGTCAGGATGTGTGTAGGCGGGGCAGCGTGACGAACGTGAGGGGAGCTAGGCTCCTCTCACAGTCCGCCCTGAAGACCGGAACGGCGCGGGAACACGGCAAGAGGAACGCGCGGAGCAAAGGTAAGTAAAATTTTAATTGTAATCTTGGTCCGGCCCCCGGGTCCAATATATGAACCCATTGCGGCCCTCAAGTCAAAAAGTTTGCCCACCCCTGGGTTAGTCAGTACATGCATGGAAATATGAGCTATTTTATAAGGCTGCACTGTGAAACCGCGTAGAACTGTTGGAATGGTGGGCTATCAAGCAAACTTGTAATTCTTTAATTAGCAGCAAAATGTTTCAGAAGATTTCTTTTGTTTAGTAGCAGTTTTATTAGGGTAGTGATGTGCAGTTAGCAATTATAAATTGCCTATCATTATTCTGACTATATTAAGCTGAAAGAAAACTAATCTGTTGTTGTTTGGATTAGCCTACTGCTTTTCTTTCCTTGTGATCTTACTTAATAGTCCTCAGTTTGCCACTCGTATGTACATTTTTTGTGTTTTACTTATGTGTTTATTTTGTTTTTATGATTTAGTTATGCCGTCATTGCCTATGGCTGTGCCAGCTGTCCCAGACTTACTTGTGAAAGGGAAGGCTGCCAAACAGAATTCTGTTACCACTGCAAGCAAGTGTGGCACCCTAACCAGACATGTGACATGGCACGTCAACAGCGTGCACCATCATTCGGAGTGCGAAGGAAGCACCCTTCTGGGATCAGCTATGGTCAGGAATCTGGCTCAGGTATGTGTTTGATGAAGATGCCAACCCTGAAACATATATTTTATGCATGAACTCCAGGTGTGAGCTTTATTGCATGCTTGCATGCATATCTCCTACTTGAAGGGCCACTGGGAGAGTTGACAGTCATTGTAGTACTCAGTGCTACTACAGCGATAGCCACAATCTTCCAGGTCCTGCCCAGATTCTTTTGTGAGCAGTTTTACTCTGCACAGTGACCACGGGATTACCTGCACAGCACTGCCCCCATATGCAAATTTGTAGAATATTAGTTGTAAGCAAAGCATTCTCTGATTGAATTAGGTAGAGTTTGTGATGTCACCAACCCTGCTCTCCACCTTCTTCAATCAGAGATTGCCTTGTATTCACTAAGAAAAAATACAAGGCATTCTATGAATGGCAACAATGCCGAGTGACGGAGCCCCTGTGATCTGTGTGCTGAGTGGAAGCTGCAAGTACAGGACTTGACAGGGGCTATTACTGTATTAGCACCAAGTACTACAAAAAAAAAAAAAAAACAACAAATGAATATTTGTACCTTGTGAAAATTTTGTAATTTGAATTGATTTCACCCACCTGTAAACCCCTGTACAGAAGCAATGGGGAAGGGTAGGAGTCAATGAGGTGCCCTGTATGCACATGTACTTATAAGGTTGACAGGAGGAGAGTTTACCTTATCAATGTGTTGCTGCTCTTTCATGGTGTAAGCAAAGACTGGGGGCAGGGAGGTGACCTAGCTGCATTGCTTAAAGCAGACTTCTAGCCACAATTGATTAATAAACCCATTTAGAGCCTAAGATCACTTAAAAATAAATAAATAAATAAATGCACATATTTTATTCACAAGACCCTCCAGGACATTGCACCTGTGATCATGGGTGCTTTGTCAGGCTTTTGGCAGACAAGCACTACAGCTTTCTGTCCATAACTCTGTATGAACTATCAAAAAAACTGCAGGGCTTAAGTATAAACTACAAGGGCTTGCTCATCTGCACCCTCACAGTTCTTTGAAAAATTCTAACTATCTTCCGTAGCGGCAGACAGGATTTGTTTTCTTACTCATAGATTCCTGTGAATGAATGTTGCGACTGTGCAGGCGGTGCCACACAGATTTCAAATGTGACAGCAGGAAAAAACCCCACCCGTTGTCACAGGGAGTAGGGAATCTGGCCGTTGGAGCCATGTGACAAACAGCATGTTACGCCTTTTAAATATGGGTGTAATATGCTCCTAAAGGTGAACCTATACTTTAACCACTTGCCTACAGGGCACTTATACCCCCTTCCTTACCAGGCCAATTTTCAGCTTTCAGCGCTGTCGCACTTTGAATGACAGTTGCAAGGTCATGCAACATTGTACCCACATGACATTTTTATCATTTTTTTCTCACAAATAGAGCTTTCTTTTGGTGGTATTTACTTGTCGCTGGGGTTTTTATTTTTTGCGCTATAACCAAAAAAAAAGCAAAAAATTTGGAAAAAAAAAGGTTTCTTTGTTTCTATTATAAAATTTTGCAAACAGGTAATTTTTATCCTTTACTGATGTGCGTTGATGAGGCTGCACTGATGGACACTGATAGGCAGCACTGATAGTCAGCACTGATAGATGGGTACTGATAGTCGGCACTGATAGATGGGTACTGATAGTCGGCACTGATAGGCGGGCACTGATAGTCGGCACTGATAGTCGGCACTGATAGGCAGCACTGATAGGCAGCACTGATTGGCACAACTGCTGGGCACTCACTGGCAGCACTGCTGGGCTGCACTGATGGGCACAGGTGGGTGGCACTGATGGGCAGAGTTGGGTGACACTGGTGGGCGGAACTGGTGGGTGGCACTGCTGGGCACCCTGATGATCGGTGCCGATCCCTGCTCTGACAGCTGCCGGTTCTCGGCAGTACTTTCCCCACATTCTGACAGCGTGAGGAAAGTGCAGCCGAGAACCGGCAATTGCATTTCCCTGTGATCGTGTCATTGGAGATTGCCGGGGGGGCGTGCAGGAGAGCGCGTTCTAGGAGGACGTCATATGACGCCCTCCCAGAACTGGCCGGCCGCAGCGTAGCCGACATTCGGCTATCTGCGGTCGGCAACTGGTTATACTGCATCTATGGTCAAACTTTTAAATATTTTTTTCATTTCCACATTGAAATTCAATCATTTCTGTACTACACCTATTCATTAAAATGATCTTGAAGCTTGAAAACCTTACTTTCTTATTCATACAGTGCAGGACACAGACAAAGTATTCATAAACCCTGGGTTTTAGTCTCCTACTTTCAGGTGATTGGACACTGGCAAAATCTTCGAGAACTGAGCACCTCCCCTATAACCCTACCCTACTCAGTGAGTCCTCAGTTTTGTGCTAAGGTTGTGTCCTAAGGGTATAGATCTTTTTTTCTGTTTTAGAGAAATCACTCTTAGTGAAACTAATTTTTCAGTCAATCTCACTTTCTTCTAATGCCACAGATAGTCCAGATTGGCTTATCCTCAGTAAAACATATGGGAGACCATGCTGTGGGGATGGCCTGTAATGTTGCTTTAGGCACTGGAAGGGCTCTCAACTCAGCACTTGTGCAGTATATGTAGACATCAGCAGGATGCTATATACAGTGCCTGTATTCATACTCTTTGAAATTTTCCACATTTTGTCATGTTACAACCAAAAAGGTAAATGTTTTTTATTGGGATTTTATGTGATTGACCAACACAAAGTGGCACATAATTGTGAAGTGGAAGGAAAATGATAAATGGTTTTCAAAATGTTTTACAAATATCTGAAAAGTGTGGTGTGCATTTGTATTCAGTCCCCTGAGTCAATATTTTGTAGAACCACCTTTTGCTGCATTTACAGCAGTAAGTCTTTTTTGGGTATGTCTCTACCAGCTTTGCACATCTAGAGTGACATTTGTGCCCATTCTTCTTTGCAAAATAGCTCAAGCTCTGTCAGATTGGATGGATAGCATCTGTGAACAGCAATTTTCAAGTCTTGCCACAGATTCTCAATTGGATTTAGGTCTGGACTTTGACTGGGCTATTCTAACACTCCTTCCATCCATCTTCCCATCAACTTTGACCAGCTTCTCTGGCCCTGCTGAAGAAAAGCATACCCACAACATGAAACTGCTACCACCATGTTTCACGGTGGGGATGGTGTGTTCACGGTGGTGTGCAGTGTCAGTTTTCTGCCACACATAGCGGAAATGATTTTCTCCCCTTCCCAAAGCTTTGTCAAACCCTACTTAGTAGAGGGAGATCACTAAACAGTGGTTTATTTGTAAAGTCAATCCTATCATGTCAGTCTTAAAACAAACATTTCACTGTCCTTATTGAAGGTATTCATTCCTTCAAAGGTTCCGTAAATAGAAAGTTTGGGATGCTTCTAAAGGCTTCTCTTACTCTGACTGGCCCAGACCTGCTGTCAGCTTTCGTTCCAATTTCAGTTTATCAAACTGCAGCTAACTGAACTAGGGCAATAAAAAAACCAACATGACCCTGTATTCCAGGATTTCTGGATTCTACGACAAATTACCACTGTTGTTGGCCTAGGCCAAGAATCCTTTAGTGCTGGCTTTGGATGCCCTAATAATTCCCTGTTCTCAGTTCAGGCTAATTTATGTTAAGACACCTGTGAAGGACTTGAGAAAAGTTGAAGGTGTTGCATATTTTTATGTTGCACAGTATTTGCAGAGAATTCTAAAAAGCAACTTTTTTAAAGAAAAAATAATGCACTTTATTGAATATTAATGCACAAAAACACAATATAGTACCCCATTTTTGGTAAAATATAAAAGCTATTACACCAAGTGAATAGATGCCAAACATGTCACATTTTAAAATTGCCTATGCCCATGGATCGGCGACAGACTTTGGTACCTAAAAATCTCCATATAGGCAACGCTTTAAAAGCCTTTACAGGTTACCAGTTTAGAGTTACACAGGAGGTCTGGTGCTAGAATTATTGCTCTTGCTCTGATGTTCACGGTAATACCTCACATGTGTGGTGCAACTGCCGTTTACATATGTGTGCATTCTCATTTGTGTATAAGCACATATTTGTTTTATGTATATATTTTATTTTTTTTTACACCAACTTTTAAATGTTTTTTTTTTTTTTTTTAATCCCTTTTATTGCCATTACAAGGGATGGACAACATTCCTTGTGATAACATGGGCTATGACAGGTCCTCTTTTTGTAGAGATATGGGGTCTGTCTATGTCTCTTCTGGCCTCCACAAGATCATATCAAACTGATAACGGTTTGAGCCGATGCTTTTACAAGCTGGTAATGGCTTGTTTATATGAGACCAAAACTGGAAATGACAAAATCCTTTTTACTTCCTGTTTGACGTCACACAGTGGGAGGAATGACATCCGTTCCTGTCACTGTGTCTTAAGAACCAGATGCCGCTGGGTGCATCCTTCCAGAGCTCCTCTTTAGCCACTGATTATTTTAACAACATGCGGAATTGCTCTAAAAAGTATATCTCGGTCATCGCTGTCTCGGTCACCCTTCCCATCCAAGTACGTATGGATACGTCCTATGGATGGGTAGTGGTTAAAGCCCAGGTCTCAAAAGACAGTGGTCACTGAGACTTACTCCTACCTTACTGAAAGTAATAAAAGCCACTTCTAGGATGGTCTACTATCATACCCGGAAACTCTTCTTTGCCTGGTGTGAACATAGGTACTTCAATCCCACAGATTCTGTGTCTCGCATTCTGGCCTTCCTGCAATCAGGTCTGTACCAGAACTTGGCCTTAAGCACATTAAAAAGGCAGGTTTCGACTTTGTCTTTTTTCCTTTTTTTAAAGACTCCTGGCTTAGCTCTTCCTTGTAAAAACTTTTGTTCATGGTGTATCCTGCATTAAGCCTCCCTTGCAACACCCTGTTTTTCTTTGGACTCCTAACATGGTTCTCTCTGCCCTGCAGATACCACCCTTTGAACCCCTCAGGGATATTCTCTTGTATGTCCACTCCTGCAAAGTAGCCTTTTTGGTTGCC